AAAACGTTTTCGTACTATACTTGTAAATTGCATTACTCAAAGAGAAAATATAAAATTATTTTCAACTTTTAATTTTACTTAACTTTCACTTGAACAAATCGGAAATAGACCTAATGATATATGTAGCATATACATTCAAGTATAAATACCATAGTAATCGTTTAATTTTGATTTAATGTCTGTAGTAATATCTCGTATCCTTATGAACCGATATTTCATTCTGCACTTAACGGAATTTGTAGGTGTTAATATCATCTTGGAAAAGCATTAGTTACCAAGTACATGCCTAGTTAAGAATCACGGACTTTAATCGTATCCATTTAGGCCGATTATCTGTCAAATTTTTCCTATTGACTCGAACAAAATATTTGGATTAATTTGAGTTTAGATCCATTTAGATTAAGATACCTATTAATATTAATCCTATTAATTTGAATTAATTATTTGCATAAACTTGAGTTCAGATCTATTAGATTGAGATATTCGTTTCGTATGAGCTGTTTGGATGGCCTTAATCAATTGGCAATTATAAGTGCAGAAATATGCATAATATTGTACTTGTTCATCTTTTAACTTCATAGACAACAACGTTAGTAGATTAATCACTTTGAATATTGTAATTAATATATATCAGTTTTAAAAAAATGTTCCAATGATACCGAAATAAAGTAAGGGTTAAGTCATAATTAATTTTAAATAGTTCGATATTCCATGAAAATATGGATATATATTATTCTTATTTTTTCTATTGCTATTGTTGAAACCCGTAAGGATCTGTTAAGTAGCTAACACAAAAGAAATTACATGACAAATACTTTGGTTAGGATGTGGATGGGCAATGGTTGTATGAGAGGGAAGAAGATTGTTGGGGAGTGGTGGGGGATGGGTGGAATTTAAATCAAAGTCAACCAGAATCAAGACGGAGAAACCTAGTGACTTCTATGGGGTAGTTCGAATGGTCGATTGGACTAAGGTTTGTATGAGCGTTGGGACAGGAGAACAGATGCACGACATCATGAGGGGTAGAGCTGCAATTTGAGCAAACATTGATAATTGACGTATTTATGCGTGAGAAGTGATTGTTAAGTAGTATAGTTTTTATTGCACGGGAAAGGCTTCGTCTTCCTGGAAAATATTAGGCACGGACCTATTTTTGCTGTCAAAAAGTTTACATCTTCACTAAATTCCTACTGTTAAATTTATCTTTTGACTTTAATTAATACATATGAAGAAAGGTTTATGTGTTCATAATTATTTATTATTAAATATTAGAAATAAATTCAACAATTACATGAAACAGATTGTGTATTGAAATTTCCAAACAAGTCTTAAACATTTTCCAGATCGCGGCTCACTCACAATAGCCGTATAACTAATAACAAAGTAACATTATCTATTATCAATAGTTAGTATATATGTTAAAATTATTTTTAATTTGCAATCTATTTCTTTTTCAGTTAGGTCAGATAAATTGTCCTGATTGCCCAAAGTCATTTAAAACTCAAATAAGTTACGAGCGACACATATTCATAACACATTCGGAATCTGATGAATTTCCGTGTTCTATATGCAATGCAAAATTACGTACAGCTAATCTGTTGAAGCTGCACGAAGAGCAACATAAAAACCGTGGTAAGCCGTATGCCTGTAAAATATGCGGTAAAGATTTTACTCGGACATACCATTTAAAACGTCATCAAAAATATACATCTTGCTCAGCGAATGCCAATGACACCATGAGCTGTAAGGTGTGTAATAAAGTTTTTTATCGTTTGGATAATTTGCGAGCACACTTAAAGCATCATCTGGGCACACAAGTAACCAAGAAAGAAGAATACATGTGTCCAATTTGTAAAAATTGTTTTTACAGTTTATCAACTTTAAAGTAAGTTCGAAAAGTTAATTTAAAAAACATTAGGAGTACAATATTTATTTTGAATTGTTTTTTTTTTTTTTTGTTTTATTTGTGCAGCATACATACTCGTACACACACGGGAGAACGTCCTTTTGCTTGCGACTTATGTGACAAGAAATTTCCATCACTGGTTGCTTTAAAAAAACATCGTCGTTATCACACTGGGGAAAAACCATATACATGCCCTGAAGTAAATATTACAACCATTTCAATTTAAGTTTAATTATTGTGAACATAAATTTTTTGCAGTGTAATCAAAGTTTTGCTGTTAAGGAGGTACTCAATCGTCATATGAAGCGACATACTGGTGAAAAGCCACACGTTTGTCCCGAATGTGGAAAAAGTTTTATACAAGCCACTCAGCTTCGTTGTCATAGTAAAACTCACATACGTCCATTTGGTTGTGATCAGTGTGAAGAAAAATTTAAAACTATGAAGCAGTAAGTGATTTTATTTATTTTAAGATGCATTTATAATTGCATATAATTATATATACTGTTGGGTTTATTTTCCAGGTTAGAGAGGCATACCAAAATTCATTCGTCAAAGCGCAAGCGTAAAAATAAAGCTCAAGAGCACAAATTTAAATGCAGTGAATGCAAAGCTACTTATACGACGGAGGAAGAACTTAAAACTCATTACGACGTAGGAGTTCACATACGTGAGTTATTTTTAATAAATGTATATTTTAATATTTAAAACAATAGATGTAAAAAATTAATTATTAAAATCATTTAGTATTTTAAAAAAGTATTTTAGCTTTTTAAAAGTAAAGTTTGTTAAGAATAAAACAATAGTTTATTTCCATGGTTTGCTTGCTAAAACCTTATTGCGTTTTTCGTAATTTTCCAACCGGAATGACAGGCCCGAAGAAAACATTCCAAAACCATTTGTGGAATGTTTATATAGAAATTACATTCTCTCTACGACGAACGTAACTTATTTTTTGTTATGTTATTGTGTTAAAATTTAATGTAATATTGAAATAATTAAACGTTTCTATAAGAGATGTAGTTTTTTAAACATTTGACCTATTTCCAATGTAAAGTATAAGAAGTTTATTAATTTAGATAGCAGATGAATTTGTAATCATTCAAGTTAAATTGAAAATTATACAATACGAAAACAATTTTTAAAATAAATCAGGACTATGATTTATTATTTTGAATCAATTTGACTCGGTTCTGAAACTAGTTTATTTAATTTAATGATTCTAATGAATCGGTTTAAAACTGATGAAATTCACAACCGATGCAGTTTACACAACCTATGCAGTTTCCAATCGATGCGGTTTGCAACCGGTGCGTTTAATAAAAGATGCTGTTAACAGCAGGCGCGGTTAACAACTGATGCTGCTAACAACCGTTGCGGTTAACAACCAGTACGATTAACAACCGGTACTGTTAACAACCGGTGCGGTTAACAACTGGTGCGATCATCAATCGTTGCACTTAATAGTCGGTACTGTTAACAACCGGTGTGGTTAACAACTGGTGCGCTTAACAATCGGTGCGGTTAACAATCGGTGCGATTAACAACCGATATGGTGTTGTCAACAACTGATGAGGTTAACAACTGGTGCGTTTAATAATCGGTGTGGTTAACAACCGTTGCGGTTAAGAATCGTTGCGGTTAACAACCGTTGCGGTTAAGAATCGTTGCGGTTAGCAACGTGCGCAATTAACAACGTGTGCAGTTTACAACCAATACGGCTGACAACCGGTATCCTCCTGATATTTTGTGTAACATATTGTAAGATTGTGACAAACGACAAAATCGGCGAGAGAAAAAATTCAGAATAATTTAAATATGCAGATTTATTATTATACATTCTTACTCTCCTTAATAAAGCAAAAAGATAGGATAACGAGAAAGCTTGGCCATTGTTCATGTTTAGAACATCATATCTCAATAATCTCGATCTACTTTCTGCGAATCTCTATCATCGGTGCAAAATGGACCGAATCACAAATATGTGATGGCCCCGATCAGTACTTTAAAATTCTTTCAAATATAATACTAATTTAATTATATTATAATTTTATAACTATAGTTTTATTTATAACTATTATTTTTATGAATACAAGTATTTTTCAAATATTAGGAACAAAATATCAAACAATATAAAATATGATTTCTTTTAAACATTTCATACGAATTTATATGGTATATTTTAGCTACCTATACCAGCAGTAGTATCCAAATGGAGAAAGGTCGAACAGATTGTGCTGTTTGTGATAAGGAATTCGATTCACTTAAAACTCTCAATTCTCATATACTTAAAGTACATGATGAGAAGCCGGAAACTTTCCATAATGCTAAACGTGCATCAAAAGTTGAATTGAATACTTCTGGCTCATCACCAACAAAGATTTACAGGATTGATGATTCCAATGAAAATCCCATTGAAAGTATTACAACAATCAACAATAATGATATATTACCAGTAAAAAATACTGATCAAACATCGATCGAAGGTGGTGTTGTTGTGCAACAATTTATAGTAGATGAAGTTCCTGAAAGCACCACTGAACAATTATTGTTGGAAAACAAACTATACACTGTTATACCATTAGAAAACGAGACTATGAAAAGAGAATCGAAAATCACTGTTCCTCAGGAGTCACCAAAAGACAGGAAGCGTAATATAAAATCTTTAGCTGAAAGTTTAGTGGCTGCTATTACAGATGATGTTTCTGATGATGAAGGACAACTTATGATAGTGGAAAATGTGGAAACTGAAGATGATATAAGAGTTAAGGGCAATGTTCGAAGACTATTGGATATTTTAGTGGACAGATCTACTTTAAAGAAATTCGGTTGGCCAGAAGCAACTGAAGAATATGTATGTTCCTTAATTAAGTTTAAAGTATTTCAATTTTAAATTTTGTTGTGTTCATCCCTATCAGGTGCTCTGCAAGGTTATTGAAAATTGTGGTTATGATTTGGGTAAGGATGAGTCGTGTAATGCTGATAGCGATTATGCAACACGTATGCGTGAATACGTTAAATTGCTATTTAGTGTTGTAATACACAATGATTCCATAAAAGAACTTTTAAATAATTATCCAATCGATGATGTAATTGAATTTGTATTGGATAATGATGATCACGAACGTGAAGAAGATGATGACGATGAAGATGATTAAATTAAGATGTTTTTAAAAATATTATATACGTATGCTATACGTTTTCCAAAAAAATGTTAAATCTAAATGTTTATCATATGTCAAAGTATAATATATATTCCCGTATTTTCCGAAGGTGGTAAAATTTTATGCAGTATCCATTTTAGCTTGATCAAATTTGTGTATTCGTCCAATCTATTTGAAATTTTCTTAACTGAAAAATATTTTTGTGGGGAAATGTATTTTATTTAAATTTACATAATTTATTATACTATTAGAGGCATTATAAATAATGCCTCTACACACAGAATAGTATTGAAATTTAACAATTAAAAAATAAAAATATAATTAATTAATTCAATTATTTTACAGCTGGTTTATGATTTCGTTCTAATATAAACACAGCAAGTAAATTTGTTAATAAAGCTTTCATAGCAAAATAACAAAACTCCAGAAAAATTAGCGAACAGAAAATGTCAAGTACGGCTTTGGGTCAGTTTGTTAAGGTGCGCTGATTCTGAGCTTCACATTTGGCAGGACCCGAGTTCGATTCCTGGTACTTGCAGTCTCAAAAATAATTATTAAGAATTATTCCAGGACCACTGATAGTGGGTATTTGGCAATACTCAAAACAGCTGCATGGTCAGCCAAAAATTCAATTAATTAAAATAATATAAAAATAAATTTTTGTTGTTGTAGTTCACTACTGTTCGAAAAAACCTCATAATTTATTATTAATTTTATGATCACGTCAGCCTATTCTGATAGAACGGTGCGTGTCTAATTATTATATCCTAACATTATGATCACAACTTGCAGTTGTTATTTTTTTTATAAATACAAATATTTATATAAGAATCGACACCTAATAAATATAATATGAAGTAGAAGGGATTTGGTAACAGTTATTTTATTGATGAAATAATCAAAATTATTATAATGTGTAAAAGCAACGACAATTGAAATTTTTTTTTTTTGAAGAGGAAACATAATCTGTTAAATCCTTAACATTTTTAACAAGAGTTGTTTAATCTTTAAATAAAAATATTACTAATATATACTAAAATTATATTTATATAGTAACCCAGCATTTACACTAAAAATTAATCTGCTAAAAATTTTGGTACGGTAGGAAAATACGGATGTTTATGTTTAATCGTAGCAGTAAATATTAATAAAATATTATAATCCAGTATATAAAATCATATTAAAAATGTATAAAGTGTTACGTTATTATAATTTTTGCGATTCAAGTCCTTATCTTCTCACAAAGACATTTATATTATTAATTTATCTTAACTTTTTTTATATTATTCATATAATTTAAATATTTACTTTTGATTCCATATAGACAATAATTTATTATTAGAAAATATATTATTTTTTTTATAAATACAATTGATGTAAAACTATATATTTAAATCTTAAACTCTATGATTGACGTCTTTTATTAAGAAATTCTTTTTGAGAATTTTTTAGAATTGTGCTTTCAGTATAAGCTTAGTTTAAATTACAAAAAAGTGTTTATTGTATTATTTTAATGAATCAATTATCATATTATAATAGATTTATAAATTATAAGATTATTAAATATATATACAATATTATTTAATTATATGATTCTATATATATATATATAAATGTTGAATGTTCATTATTTTTCAATGTGCTATTATATAAAATATTCAATAATCTTTATTTTCTGCTATTTATTTATCTTTTTATTCTGCACTTAAATATTAAATATGTTGAAAAAAGAGAATAATAAAATGATTAAACTGATGGAACGCAAAATTATGTAGAATATGTTACTAATATATAAAACATTGCTCAATTTTAAATTTGATTAAAATATAATTTTTTTTTTATGTTACTCTTCCAAAAAGTGCTTCAAAGGCATAAATCCGTTTTCCTGAGCCATTGGGTTTTCTACTTATTGTTGGTAATTTTTATGTAAAAACATCCAATTTTAAACCCCAATATTTCAGAAATCTTTGAAGCTCTAATTAAAACCGATTTTTATGTCTACATATTGCAATTAAAAAAATATTATTGCAGTTTCAGTTACTTAATTTATATTCTCATATTACCAAGTAAAATTATAACAAAAATATTTCGACATATTTCTTCTTAATTGCTAATTTGTTGAGTAGTTAAAAGTTATTTATTTTTTTTCTAAATACTCTTAAATAAATAAGTACATTTAAAAATTTGTTGTAAAAGTTATTCTCGATAAAATGAATATACTTTATTAATATATTTTGGAATAAAATCTCATTAAAGTATATAAGTATAAAACAAATAATTATATTCAAATATAATGTATGTAAATATTACATACATAATGGACATTGCTGTATAACTGTATTTACATTAAATAAACATAATATAAAGTTAGTTAATTTTTTTCTAATCAATTTATATATACATATTTTAGTTGAATATTTTTGCACAATAGTAATAAATGTTATTACTACATATATATACAATTTTTTTTCTACCGGACTTAAGGTCGGTTATTTGACAATTGAAAAGGTAATAAAAGCACTTATTAATTTATGTTAAAATTTTTAATATTTTTATTAAAAAATATTTATAATACAAATATTTCGATCTTTTTAAAAAAAATTAATTTTGTATTTATTAGTTTTATGTTATATATATTTGTTTCAACACAGAACTGTAGATTTGTAAATCTACAATCAATTAGAGTTTTTAAATATAATCTATAAATCTTAAAAATCTTATTTTTAAGTGTTAAATAACCAACTTTAAATTCGGTAAAAATAAAATTGATTGATATATAGGTCGTAATAACAATTATATACATATGTATTATTATTTTTCCAAGATTATACTTGTTTAATTCCCTAAAAATTTTATTTTTGTATTAATATATTTAATATTTAATAGATATTGCACAATTATGTTAAGTATTTTCTATCGATTTAAAACTTAATTAAATTAATTAATATATTATTAATTTACATAAATGCAAAATTTTTATTTTTTTAAATTAAGAAAAGTCTAAACTGTAAATATATTTTATTAAAATATTGTCTTTTTATAAAATATGTTTAATTATATTTTAAATATAAATACGAAATTGTTACTAATAAAAAAATTCAAATATAGTTTTGTTGTTTAGTTATTATTAAAAACAATTATGATTAAATTAAACTATAATTAGTTATTAGCAGAACTCCATATATATATTTCATACAATAATGAGCAGACTTTTTACTTTTTTCTGTATATTTTTATTTATATAATGTAATAACATTGCAATATATTTCTTAAACTATAGCTAAACTTAAACTATTAAAATTAATTAATTAATTAGATTTCATTTTTAAAAGTATAAATATTTTTTTAAATTTAATTTTATATATTATTAAATAAAAAAACTAACACATTTTTGAATTATTAAATAATAAATGTCAAATGTTTGTGAATATTGCGTTTTAATATTTTATAAACAAAAAGGATTCAATTAAATTTTTTTCTTCTTATATAAGTACATATTTCTAATAGAATAATATTATAATAATATTATTATATTAATATTATAATAAATAAATAATTAATATTATATAGAATAATATTATAAGTGCACATTCCAAATAGAATATTTGCAGTCTATTGCACAATACATTGTATTAAAATTAAGCGATAAGTTGCTGAAGTGGAAAAGATTTAACTATATTGGAATACAATTGGTGGTGATTTATAGGTAATAGGTATTTATAGGTAGTAAGAGAGAGATAATAATAACTATGACTTTCGGTATCTAATGCGGTATCCCTGGGGAAAATCATTTAATCTAAATTGCACAAAGTAAATCTAACAGTAAATGTAACAATATTTAACAATATTCAAGACTCCGAACCTAGTTCGGTTCAACAAAAATCAAATGAACTTACTAGTTTCGTTTCTTGACAATCGCAATAAAATTTCAGATAATACTTTACTATGCATTGCCTAACAAAGTAGAATTAACAGGAGAATGTTTCAGGAAATGTTTCTGCAATCTGTTAGAATGAACTGTCCATTGCGATTGTCCTCCATTTTAAGCGTCAGCCCCTGACTTTACAAGTAATTTATATTTAAAGATTTATATACTGTTGCTGTCCAAAATTTCTTTTTTACTTTGTAAGCATTAGTCAACGTTGATATAAGATTTTTGTAATTTTTAACCGACGTGGATTTCAATTCATATTCCCGACCATCATTTTAAGTCACTATAGCTCGGATGCTGTTGAATAGAATTCTACCTAGAACCTCAGCACTACTATACGCTTTATATTAAGTTATCGGTGAACTAAGCACACACATTAGTGAGCTGTATAAAGTCACCATTATTACATGTACTTCTCTTAGAAATTACTATATTAAAATTGCTTTCACTAAAACAACTAAAAATTTATATCTTTTTGAGGATGTTCTTTTAGTTAATTTTTCTTGTGAAAAAGGATGTTGGAAAGTCGGTAAAAGTTTTTTAGTATTTCACAGTATATATCTATTGATTGTATGGTACTTGCTCTTTATATCTATAACGCCATAGTAAACCAGACTCTACATTTTACTCAATGACTTTTAAGCATTAAATTTTTGGCCACCATTCGATATATGCATTTGTGCTAATGAAGACTCATCATGAAGACTTTCACAGACTATCATCCCACATTTTGTTATCTTAGCCATTTTTATAATCAGATATTCACTTTATCGAAGTCTTTTATCAAAGATAATTGCGACTTATTCAGATTCGTTGGATAGTGCTAAAAGTATTATACTATATGTTGTCACTATATAACTAAAGAAGAATGTTTCTAAGATATCTTTGATAAAAAACTTATATGAAGTGAACATCTAAAGATCCATTAATTATCTTTTTTGTTTAGTAACAATTTTCTAGAATTATTTGTTCTTAATATTTATGCAAAGTAAAGTAGTAAAGTATTAAAGTAATATATTCGAAATATCCATATAAAGTCTAGTTAATAATGTGAGTTATTGTTTATTTTTTAACAAGTAATTCTGCTCTTTAGATTACATTAGGAGTACTATTATATTGAAAGTAAATTAATAAATTTCTGCACCTTTGAAAACTACACTACTCTGATGCAAATATATACAAAGATCTCCGTATGTTAAGATCAAAATCTTCAACATTAAATATATCATAAAGTACTGCAACTATAATAATAGCTTAACTTTAAATCTAATAGCTAACAGTTTAAACACAAGTAGACTTAGAAAGCCCCGCCTAAGTAATCGATCGCATGAATTTAAGGATTTATGATAGAAATAGATTTGTAAGCTAAAACAATAAGTAATAAATCTTAAAATAAAATTTTTAACTTAAATTATATATAAAATTATAATACAATATTAAAAATATATATATAAATCTATAATAATTATTAAAAAAAAAAACAAAAAATATTATTCATTGTATAATTAATTCATTTAATTTTTTTGTATCCCAAAAATTTATATAGCAAATATTTTTTTTTAACACCTGTAGGAAATTTTTTATTTTATTATTAATGCATTAGTTTATAGGTTTATTAATTAGTATTGTGCATATCTATAATAAGTTAAACATGAATTTATCTTTAGTCCTATCTAGTAAATCCTGAGCTAAAGAGGTAACCAAGGCAATAGTTGGTGTCAACAAAGAATTGAGAAGTGCTTGTCATATTCGTCGCTATGTAATGAATTGATTTTTTTTTTCATAAAATTAAAATAGATTTAGTTAAATTTTGTTAAATTGTAAAATAATGGCCGAAAGCAATATTGATCCGACTGTGATAAAACTTACACAAGATACACTTGGTAAATATGTTAAAAAACCTCCGCTCTCAGAAAAACTTTTGAAGAAACCACCTTTTCGGTTCCTATTTGATATATTCACTGTGGTAAGTAATTTATTAAATTAAATTATTTATATGAGGCTGATAGTACTATATATTATTTTTTAAAAGTGAAGAGTTTATATATACATGAATTATATCAACATGAAACTTCGATATTGGTGCGATATTAGATATTTATCGCTTTTATAAATTAATAATTTTTGCATACAAATAATGGTACTTAGGTATACTTATAGTTTATTAATTTAAACTATTTGTCAGTTCAAATTTAAATAATTGACTGTTGCTATAGTAAATAAAAATAAAATTATAGGTTATACGTGACACTGGTTGCTTTGAAGGACTGTATACAGCCGAAGAACTTACTTTTGAGAACATCAAAGACCGTGATGACAAAATGAAATTCTTACAAAAAATGATTGATGTTGTTAGTAAGTATAATTCACATATATTAAATCTGTAATATGTGTTTAAAAATTAAACCCAATTAGAAGGATCTATTTTATTAAATTAAAAAAATTGTTCTTGATTTTCTAGAACTTACAACAAATGATTCCTTAACGGTTCGTACTTCAAAGATCGTCGCTGGTCATGAACCGGAAAAAACCAATGAGTTATTACAGCTAATGGGTCAGGTAATTGAAAATAAATTAGACTGGAAAAATGCAATGAATAAACTTAGTAGTGGAACGCCTGATAATAAGGAAATAGTTACAAAAGACAGTAAACAAAAAGACAGCAAAATTAAGGAAAAAATTAAAGATAAAAATGCCAAAACTAAGGAAATGAAAATAAAAGAATCGAAAACCGGTACAAAAGCAATTTCAACAACAACAAATGATGGAAAAATTAAGAAACCTTTAGTAGTAAGCAAAGAAAAAGAAAAAAATACCAAAGACAAAACTACTATAAGAGATAATAGGGAAAAGGACATAACTAAAAAGATGAATGAAACAACAGAAAAGTCAAGTAAAAAAATTAAAACTAAAACTGAGCAAAGTCCATCCCCCAATAAGGATGAAATTAAGCAAAAAGCTAAAGTTGCAAAAGTTGTACAACAAAGTAGCATTGATAAGAAAATTGATGAGGAAATTAAAAATAAAATATCTCCGATTAAAAAAGTTGATTCTCCAGTAAAGAATATTAAAGCAGAGGAGACGATTTCTACAGTTGTTAAACAGAATAGTTCACCACAACATAGTACAGAAAATGATATATCATTACCACAAGAACTGAAAAAGTCATCTGAAACTGAACAATTAAATTTAACACCTTCAAAGGAAAGCGGAAGTCGTAAATCTTCTGCTAAACTTAGTAATGACACCCCTACCAAAAGTAGACGTTCGAGTGCAACCAAAATGACTAAGATTGAAATTAGTAATCATGTTCAACAAAATGACATACAAAGTCTAGATTCTTTAAGTACTTTAAATGAAGTAGAAACAAGTCTCAACTCTAAAGCTATAAAATCAACGGAATCCGTTGCAACAAAAGTGCAACCAACTGCTGCTACTGAAACTCCTAGTCCTATCAATAAAACGGAGTACAAAAGAGAATCGACGTTTGTGCGTGAAAACTCTAAAGATAGCACTAATAGTGTTAATGCCACTAATCGACCACGTACATCACTTAGACCGCCAAGTGCACGACCAGCTTCTGCACGTCCAGGTGCACCACGTAGAAGAGATAAAAATATTGAAATCGTACTACAACCAAATGACCAAATAAATATTTCCGGCATAAATGTTAAGCTTGAAACATTTAATGATGTTTACGATGATGGCGAAAATTTAGTTATAATTGAAGATCCAAATGCTGAACACATAAATGGTTTTAATCTTAGCGATCGCACAGAAAATCAAACTGAAGAACTTGCACAACCAGGCCATTTGGTACAACAAATTCTAGAAACACAGAAAGAGTTAGTACAACAGAATGTGAATGATATAACGAATAAAACGGAGAAGGTAAATTTTTTGTTTAAAAATTTAAATAATTGATAGATACATATAGTTCCCTTTTCAGGAAACTGGTTATACCAATGGTCTAAATGCACGACAAAGTTCAGCACGACAGATGAACAATTTACGTGAAGTTATACAAAATTTGGCTAAATCGGTAAGTCCATTAGGCAAGTTAATGGATCTAATACCAGAAGATATCGATGCAATGCAACTTGAATTAGTAATGTGGCGCGATACATACGTTCAGGCTGCTGCCGATCTTAGAAGGGAACGAAGGTAATTTGAAAAATTAACTATAAACTATTTTGATTTTAAATTTACAATCCACATATATAACACAGTCTTACTACATCTATGACGGAACCAATGAAAAATCAATTAGTCGAGATCGATGGAAACATAAAGGAATACATTGAAATGATTAAATCGAGCAGAGCAAAAATATTACAAAATGGTGACAAAATTATAAAAATGTTAACTGAACAATAATTAAGCATATATGTATGTTGGGATTATGTTAAAATTAATATATATCAAATATTTATCAAAATCAGTTAATAAATGCAAATTGTTAAATTAACATAATTAAAAAACATAAGTAAATCGTTACAATATTTTTTAAGTAAATCGTTACACAATACACAATTTTATTTCAATATGCATATCTCTTTTTTAAACTACTAATACAAGAAGTAAAAAAAAGTTATTGTGTCTGGAAACATCTAAAATTAGTACCTATCTTTCGAAGACAACTGGGTCAACCGAGACGACCACAGAAATGAATTTTTAAAAACTTTATATATTATAATTATATATAAGAGATATATGAATTATAAAGCTTACTATTTGATACGTTGGGTTCATGAGGTCTCAATATTTGTTTATTATTTTTTGTAAGTATAAATGTGTTGAGTTTTAAGTTCCTATCTTGACTCATATATATTTTTTAGTTTTATCATGTTCCTTAAGCGACTCTTGTTTGCAATAGATGCATTTAGGTAGGCACAAGTTGGATATAGGCTTTTAAAGGGTCGTGGAGATTAAACAACAGATGAAGAACTTAATGGCAAATATGAGAAATTATTTTTTCACATGGAACAGTACAACTTGACACGTGTTTTCAAAAAGATTAAGTGAATAGTAAATCTCGGATCATTTGAATATAATGACTTTTTTCAATTTATCATTTTAAAACAGTTTATTTCGAGAAAATTGAAGATAATAATTATAATATTTCTCAAGCGCCTATAAAAAGGGTCGCTATTAGAATTTTTGGTTGACATAAATCCTCTGCCTAACCCTCCCCGTGGGTGTCGACTGGTAATAGAGAGTTCTGATTGCAGACTGTTCTAGCTAAGAATTGGAGTTTGCTCTGATTCATCGGCGTGAGGTCTCTGGGGACAACAGAGGTAATGATGCACTAGGCTATACCGACGGATTCTTCAGGTCCTTAAGGGCTTCCCTTGTCGGATTGGCTACTGCGGAGCAAAAATTCTGTCCAACGGCCTTTACGGCCAATATGGCTTCAACGGCAACAACCTTGGCTATACTGACACTGATTGTATGATTTTGAATTGTCTGAATTATAAATTGTCTGAACCCTGGGCTGACTGTCTCAGTATTCTGTTACCTCAGTATGTAGAGGTGAAACTCTGCAGAAATGGCTTTCAGGCTAATGCTGAGGCTGCCTCCGTCCCGTTAAAATCGTGGCTGACCTCAGGAAGCGCTCAATATCCGTCGCCGTTTAGTTGGTGGTGTAGGTGAGGTTGAGCGAAGCTCCCTCTTAATATCTGCCTGGCTCTGAATGTATATGCTCATAAGGCTATACATCAACCTTCACATGGACCTCACTGATTCAAAGGGACCCATGGGGCTTTTTAAAAGATAACTACACGTCGGGTGGAGATAGCGGACCTGAGTTGGGACCCATCAATATGGAAAATTTAAATCTTAATAAAAAACAAACAAAACTTTCTGCTACTGGAAGACCAGTAGCAACCCCAAGCAGAAGACTGCAAACCTCGAGTGGTACCTCCAACTCCACTTCCAATGAACTTAAAATCTCGTCGCAAATACCTTCTGGAAGCAGAAATACTGCATCTACCAGTCGGTATGTTGCCTCTTTTGTCACGGCCAAAAGCAGTGACAAGTCAGAAACCAAATCCACAAGGAGAATTCCACCCTCTAAAAAGGCCCATAACGACCGCCGTATGGCTACACGAATTCTGCAGCGCGTAGGTGAGATCCCGGCCGATAAAATCAGTCAGCAACAGGCCTCATCCCTTGAATGGGCCAAAAGCATCTTGGCCAAATCAAGCAACAAAGAGGCTTCCAAACCGGACCAAGTGTCTAAAAGACAAAGGTCTCAGGAGGAAGAACCCCCTCTTACGAAAAAACCAAGAGGTCACAATGTACTGGTACGACCGTACAGTGAGGTTGCGAAGGACAATCTCATTATAGGTGTCCTGGATAGGAGTGCCGAGGAGGGAGAATCCCCAAGGACAAATGGAAATGGGTGTCGGCCGCGCTGGCAGACATCTTCCTCCAAGTTTTGGAAGAAAACCCAGGACCTGCTCCCTCCTGCGAACACGCGGGCTGGCACCAAAGACAAGTGAAATTGGTAGCTTGCAAGGATGCGAGATCGGTTGCCTTGTACAAGGCAGCTGTCTCTAAAGTAGGAGAGATCTGGCCTGGAGCCAGACTTGAAGCGGTAGACAAGAAGGATATACCATCTCGTCCTAGGGCCAGGGTTTGGATTCCAACTAAACAAACTGACCCGGAGCAAATTCTGAAAATAATCAGGATCTGTAACCCCAACCTTCCAACTGGAAATTGGAAGGTGGTAAAATTAGAGGAGCCTGTTGGACCGACCAGACAAGCTGTCCTTGTATTAAATGCGGAGTCATTGAAACCGCTCACCGAAGCTAAGTACGTAATCTCCTATGGCTTTGAGAAACTAAATCTCAAGGTCTATCGTACCGATGCCACGGAAGAACCGGAGAAGATTACGTCTGCTCAGCCCTTGCTGGAGGAACCAGCTAAAGAACCAATGCTAAGACAGCAGAGTTGTGAGGAAACACAGAGTGAAGACCTGCCAGATCAAATGGAAGTGGACTCGCTCTCTCTGGTGTCTGAAGACAAATCGGATGCGGGGTCGGTGACCAGTCTGGGCAACCTATTCGATGAGAGTGGGCTCCTGGATTCGGATGACGAAGCCGATAAAACGGTGGTAGAGGTTCAGGTACCTGATGAAGGTGCTTCAAATTAATCTCCACCACTCTAAAGCTGCTTCAGCAAACCTTCTAATCCACCTTGCACAGGGTGGAGCCGATATTGTTCTGATTCAGGAACCATGGATACTGGAAAACCGGATCTGTGGAATCGGAACAAATGACTATAAACTTATCAGCAACACAGACTCAGGTAGACCTAGATCATGTGTGTTAGTGAAAAAGTACATTAATTGTTTCCTTTTGAATAATTTTAGTGATGACGACCAGACTGCAGTGAGTTTGGAAATCGACGGCAAAACCGTATGGGTGGTGTCATCATACATGGCCCATGACCATATAGGAAATCCACCACCGGAAATACTTAAGCAGCTCGTGATAACAGCAGCAGAAAGAATGACTGGTGTTGTGATTGGAGCCGATGCAAATGCTCATCACACAATCTGGGGTAGCTCGGACATAAATGAAAGAGGTGAGTCGTTATTCGATTTTATTCTAGATTATAATCTTCATATATGCAATACAGGAGTGGAACCTACTTTTATTATTGCAGGCAGAAAAGAAGTTTTAGATATTACGTTAACTATTGAAAACACAGATCTTGAGATTAAAGATTGGAGAGTTCTTGATGAACACTCATTCTCTGACCATCGTTATATTCAATTCTATATAAATCTACAATGTCCAGTTGAGAAACCTTATCGGAATTACCGTAATACCAACTGGAGTAGATATCGAACCAATTTACTAAATCTACTTCCTCTATATCCTATTGAAGAAGTAGAGACTCCTCAATCGCTAGATAACGTTGTGGAAACCTTCACAAAAGCTTGCAACATAGCCTTGGGCCGTTCTTGCCCACTAAAATCACAGAGGGGAAAGAAAAAGCCATTGTGGTGGTCCGAGGAAATAAGAGATCTTAGGAAATCAAGCAGAAACTTGTTTAACAAGGCCAAGAGAAGTAATCTTAACACTGACTGGGACATCTACAAAGTCAGTCTAAAAATATATAAAAATGAAATAAAAAGAGCCAAAACACGCTCCTGGAAAGCCTTCTGTGAAAGCGTGGAGGGTTGTCAAGGAACAGCAAGGTTTAGGCGCATTCTCTCGAAGAAACCCTCTAATCTAGTCTACTTAAAAGACGAGGTCAATGGGTGGACACATAGCAGCGAAGAATCGGCGGCATTGTTACTGAATATACATTTCCCAGATAGTGACATACCAAATAACCTTGGAATAAACCAGGGGTCTACATGTGACTCATCTGTGGTGAATAATATTGTCACCAGAAGGAAAATTAAGTGGGCTATAGATAGCTTTCTACCATACAAATCACCGGGCCTGGATGGAATTATACCAGCCCAACTTCATGAAGCAAGGGACATCTCTTGCAATTGGCTCACACCAATCTTTAAAGGTTGTCTTACCTTGGGGCATATACCAGAGAAATGGAAATTGACAAAGGTCGTTTTTATTCCTAAAGCTGGCAAAAGCTCCCATATTACGCCTAAAGATTTTAGACCGATTAGTCTATCCTCTTTCCTCTTAAAAACTTTAGAAAGGCTTCTGGAGCATTTCATTAGGAAAGAGATACCAGAGGAAAGGCTTTCAAAATCACAACATGCGTACTGTAAAGGAAGGTCTGTAGAGACCGCATTATCATCTCTAACTGGGATGATTGAAAACTCAATACAGCATAAAGAATACGCCCTTTGCGCCTTTCTTGATGTGGAAGGGGCTTTCAACAACATCCTTCCTCAAGTAATCGTCAACTCATTAAGAAAACTAGGAATTGACAATAGAGTAATCGAAGTCATTACCCAACTGCTGGTTGATAGGACAATCGTAGCGCAATGGGGGGGAACGCTAGTAACTAAGAAAGTTAATAGGGGGACTCCACAAGGAGGAGTACTTTCCCCCCTCTTATGGCTAACTGCAGTTAATGATCTTCTTGTTGATCTAGATAGCGTAGGTTGTCAGGTGGTCGCGTACGCGGATGATCTTTCCTTGATTGCAAAGGGAAAATTTCTGAGTACAATTAGTGAGGTAATGCAGGGTTATCTAAATAAAGTATCCCAATGGGCCCATTGTAGCGGATTATCAATAAATCCAACCAAAACAGAACTAGTGCTCTTTTCTAGGAAATATAAAATTCCGGAATTCACACTACCTATCCTAGGAGGTCAAACTCTAACTCTGAATGATAAAGCCAAATATTTAGGTCTTATAATTGACAGAAAACTGAATTGGGGACCAAATGTTGTTGCACGTACCCAAAAAGCTATGGTTGCATTTTACTGTTGTAGAGGCGCTATAGGCAAAAGATGGGGACTCTCACCGAAGTCCATTTTATGGATATATAATGTGGTGGTAAAACCAATTCTCTTGTATGGAGTGTTATTTTGGAGAAATACTCTGAATAGGTCAACACTATGCAAGAAATTGGAAAAGGTTCAAAGGACTGCACTGATGACATTAAGCGGAGCGTTAAAATCAACGCCGTCACTTGCCCTGAATGTTATCTTCAATATCTTACCTATCGACATTGCGGCGAAAGGCGAGGTAGCTGGGGCAGCTTTACGTATAAGAGAACTAGGAATTGGAAGCAGTTGTGGATGGATGCAAGATTCCATCCTCAGAGAAATTGATTTCATTCCGGATATAACAGACTACTGTACTACAATTACAATTGTGGACAGAAATCTTGAATTATTTATTCCTTCTAGGGAGACATGGGAAAACTACTCTGTAAAGAGTGATAATCGCCTTAACTTCTTTACAGACGGCTCAAAGTTAGATGGACAAGTAGGAGGAGGAGTATACTGCCCTGAACTAGATCTCAGTATGAGTTTCAGGCTACCGGATCACTGCAGCGTTTTTCAAGCTGAAGTATCTGCTATATTGGAAGTTTCAGATTGGCTGAAACACAATGTCTCCTCCGTTAAATTTATAAACATATTTACTGACAGCCAGGCAGCTATAAAATCCTTAAACTCGTCGACCTTCAACTCGAGGTTAGTACTGAATTGTCTGAATTGACACTGCCCGTTGGGAGGACATGCCGTGAGACTCAACATCAGGACCTCCTTACATTGTAGACATTGCATGGAGGATGATGAAGAGGAATCACCAACACACCTTCTGCTACAGTGTCCTGCCTTCGCAAGACATAGACTATCCTACTTAGGGTCGCACTTTTTCTATTCATTAAGAGAGCTAGATTCTATTTCCATAGCTCGTGTCAATGGCTTTGTAGCCAATACCAAGTGGTTATAGGGACAGGTGTCAAATTCTTAGGGTATCACAATGGACCTCATGGTCTAAGTGTGTCTTCGGACGGCCCCAGTAACCTAACCTAACCTAACCTAAGAATTTCTAGATCACATCGACATTAATGCTCCCACAGGCTGAGCATTTCATTGTTTTAAGTAGATGGAGTAACTTAGATCGCAGACGTAAACGTTTGATTAGCATCAAAACTTCTGTTCTTCGCAGTGATAAAGGTTATTTTTCCTGTGCAAGTATTTAAACCTTGACAGAATAGCACGATTCAGGGAACTAAATAGCTTACATAATTTTATATATTGTTTCATTATAAAAACCCTAATTATAAAATTATAAGATCAGTTGTTCAATCAAAAAACTTTTAAACGTTAGCAACTTTATATAGAAAAACCTATATTTTAAATTTTAAAAGTTTAATAATAGCCCATAAAATAATAAATAAATAATAAAAGTAAGTATGTAACTCCAAAAGAATAAAGTAGTTTAAGTTTTTATGTTCTATTAGTTTTATCATATCAAACGATTGATTGTTAACATTAGCTGTTATTTTTTTTATTTAGAATTGTAAAAAACAACATTAAGTCTGGTTGAAACAAATTGGCGTCAAATTTAAAATACGATAAATGCATTTTTGACATATGTATGGTTTTTGTTCTGTTGTGTACAACATGAAATATAAAAATTTTAAACACTAAAAATTAATTAATTTATATAAAAAAAAAAACAAAATCAATATTAGAAGTGCTATAATAAGCATTTTTATTTTATATATTTAAATTAATTTATTTATTTATGTATTTAAATTTATTAGTAAATGAAATACTCATTTGATTTGAACGGATGTCTGAAATTTTACAACGTATTTCCAGTCAACATTCACAATAGAAAAATTTTTGAATTTGGATGCGATGAAACTTAAGACATAAAATATTTTGCGAATATTTAGGTTATATTCGCATTATTATATTATATATTAAAGATTTTAATAGCATTGTAGTTGCTTGGCCCGTTTTTTTCGTAAGTTGCGAGTATTTTTTTTCCTACTCTGAAAGATTATTATTATGCACTGTAGTCGGAATAATGTATCAATTTAAATTTGCTTCGTGTAGATTCGAGTTTATCTGAAAGCATAAATTGCAACTCTACCATGACAGACCAAATGTTTTTGAATTTCTATTTTGACTTCATTCTTTACTATATTTTGAAGATACTTCGTAATATTAAGCAGCTCAGACCTGACATCTTATAGAGTTTAAGATTTATTTATGTTATGAGGTAAAAATTTTTTCGTTATATAAATAAACAGCAGAAATTATAAATATATTTAACTTATCAATATTGATACAGAATTTTTTATATTCTATTTAAGTTCCACTTTTCAATGTAATTAAAGTAAGAAAAGGCGATATTTGTATTAAATTTCAAAATAAATATATATAAATTATATCGGTAGTGCATTAAGCAATATCTATAAATATAAAAGAAGATAATGTCTTTTCACATGATAAATTGTATATGTGAATAGTATAGTTTTATGTTAGAATAGTTTTATGTTATGAAAAAGTTTTCTGTAATTATGAGTTGGCATTCAAATTCTTATTATATTTGCAGCTGCTGCTCACTACTGACTGTTTTACTATATTATTACAACGAGTTTTATACCGAGTGTTAAAACAAAGTATTAGCCGCTAAACTAATTACGTTGAAATTGTCAGTGACGGGTGCATGCCTAATGCATTTCCACCTAAACAAACATACTTGGTCCAAGTGGAAAGTAGACCAGTACAGCTAATATTAATGAAAATGAATCATGATGATTTACAAAACATTCCCGTTAAGAACGAAGGGTGTCCTATTGTAGCATCAGAATCAACTATCACCAATAGCGATAGTTTCCTATTGGAAGAATCACCTTTAAGCGATGATGAAAAGCAAGATGGTGAAGATTGTATTCAAAAACACATCTGTGGTAAATGTCACAAATCGTTTAGACGATTTAGTGTAAGTACTCATGCTTAAATTATTTTATAGTTTTTTAATCCTTTTTAATTCTAATAGGAGTTTAAAAAACATTCGGCATTTTGTCAGTTCGATAGTGATTACCACTTACGAAAAGCAGATATGATGAAGAATACTGAAAAAATTGAGAGGGAAGCAATTAATATGGAGTCTACTTCCTGTTCATCGAACACATATAAAACAATCAGTTGTGAGGTGTGTAAACAAATGTTTTCTCGTTTAGATAGTTTACAAGAACATTTAAAGCGTCATCTGAACACACAATTAACTAAAACAGAAGAAAATATGTGCCCCATTTGTAAAAATTGTTTTTCCAATTTATCAATTTTGAAGTAAGTTTCAAAAATTATTGCTAAATTTGAAATAATATATTTGATTTTTTTAAATTACTTCGTTAAAAATGATGCAGAAAGCATAAACTTGAACATAGAGGAGATCGTCCTTTTGCTTGCGACTTTTGCGATAGAAAATTTCCCGTATTAAGTCTATTGATAAAACATCGTCGTTCTCATACTGGCGAAAAACCATACACATGCGCTGAAGTAACTATTTTAATTATGTTTATTTTGGATATATTAGATATATTAAGTATTTGAAGTTATCTTTTACAGCGCAACCAAAGTTTTTCTGCTAAGGGATTACTCAACCGTCATATGAAGCTACATACTAGTGAAAAACCATACACTTGCGCTAAAGTAAATACCAAGATTATATTGACTTGATAATAAATAAATCAAGAAAAATTTTATTTTTAATTTATTTTTAAATCATATTTTTTTTATAGTGTAATCAATGTTTTACTACTGAAGAAATGCTCAAACAGCATACGAAACGACATACTGATGAAAAACCCTACATATGCACTGAAGTAAATATTCTAACTATATTCATCAAAGATTTAATTTTATAAGTATATATTTGGTATAGTGTGATCAATGTTTCGCTATTAAGGATTCGGTCAATCTTCATATTGAACTTCATACTATCAGAACGCCTCACGTTTGCAATGAAAGTGGAATAAGTTTTGACACCACCCGACTACATATTCAACATCCATTTGACTGTAATCAATGTAAAGAAAAACTCAAATCCAGTAAGCAAGACGTTGTTCCAGAACGGCAATTGATAACAGATGAAGGATCTGAAACAACTACAAAGCAATTGGTATTCGAAAACGAAGTATGTAGTACAGTAGAAAATCAGAGTATAAAAATAGAACCCAAAACTAGTATCTCCAAAGGTCTACGTGATGTCAATATAAGCAATCGACCATTGGTTGAAGAGGACACTACTGTACAACAATTAAATGAAAATGAAGAACCTGAAAGAACCACCGAGCAATTGTTATTAAACAACGAATTATACACTATTATAACACTAGAAAATGAGAATATTAAACTGAAACAAAAAACTATTATCCCTGAAGATGTAATTGAGTCTACCAATGAAGATCAAACACTTGTTAAAGGTGAAGTTGTTGTAGAAGAAGAAGTAGAAGTAGAAGATAATATAACTGAAATAGTTACAGAGCAGCTGTTAGAAAATCATGAATCATGCAGTGTTATTACACACAAAACTAAGAGTATCAATATAGAAACTAGAAATGCTATTCCTGAAACTGGTATTTCTTTAAATAGCATAACATACGATATACCTTCAATTGATAATAATTTAGCAAAGCAAGTTAAAAAAGATGAACCACATCAAATATCTAGACAGCAACTATTAAAAAATGCAGAGTTCACTGTTACAACGCTAGAAAATAAGAGAATAAAATTGGAGTTAGAAACTGCTATTCCAGAAACTGTAGTTGGCACGGTTGCTATACAACAATCTATTAAATTTGAAGCAGCTGAAACAAATTCAGAAGAATTATTACTAGAAAACGAATTATACAGTGTTATAACACTAGAAAGTGAGAACATAAAAATCGAGCCGGTCGCTACTGTTTCAGAAAGTTTGACTGATGTTATTACAGACGATCGAACATCCATTGCAGATGAGATTTTATTGTTACAATTCACAGAAGAAGAAGAATTTGAAAATAATTCAAAACAAGTTAAAAATTCATCTTGTTCGTTGAAACAACACATTAAAGAACATAAAAGTGGTGATAATATTAATAAATCTGCAATTTTAAAGTAAGTAGTTTAATAAATATTTTAAAATTACTTTTTAAAATTCTTTAGAAAGCGTAAAGGTATACAGCAAGGAGAGGGTCCTTTTACTTGTGACTTTTGTAAGAAGAAATTTCCGGTGTTGAGTGTATTGGAAAACCACCGTCGTTCTCACACTGGTGAAAAACCATATACCTGCACTGAAGTAAGTATTGCCATTCTTTAAATTTAAGATTATATATATAAAATGACTTTTTTTGTTTTATAGTGTAAACAATGTTTTGCTCATAAGCAAGCACTCAATCATCACATGACTCGACATACTGGTGAAAAACCCTATTCATGCACAACTGTAATTTTTACATTTAATTTTATTTAACTTTAAAGATATTTAGTATATATTTTTTAAGTGCAATAAAAGTTTTGCTGTTAAGGAGTCACTCAAGCGTCATTTGAAGATACATACTGGCGAAAAACCCTTTGCATGCAGTGAAGTAAATATTGAAATTATTCCAAATAGTACTAAATCTGATGTATACATTTTTATAGTGCAATCAATGTTTCGCTATCAAAGAGGCACTAAATCTTCATATGAGGCGACATACAGGCGAAAAACCCTTCACATGCACAGAAGTAATGATTTTAATAGTTTTGATTCAAAAATAAAGATATTAAGAATAAATTTGTTTTCAGTGTAATCAATGCTTTTCTCGTAAGCAAGCACTCAGTGCTCATATGATGCGACATACTGGTGAAAGGCCATACATGTGTACTGAGGTAAAAAACGAAATATTAACGTTAAAGAATAACTATAATAACAATATATTTTTATAGTGTAAACATTGTTTTGCTCGTAAACAAGGACTCGAACTTCATATGAAACGACATTCTGGTGAAAAACCCTTTATATGCACTGAAGTAAAGTCTACAAATATTTTAATATCAAAATAAAGTAAAAAATATATTATTTATAGTGTAGTCAATGTTTTGCTACTAAGGAATCACTAAATCGTCATATGAAGCTGCATACTGGTGAAAAACCCTTTACGTGTCCTGAAGTAAATATTACAATTATTTTCACTTCAAAATAAATATAAAAATATATATATATATAACTAATTTTTATAGTGTAATCGAAGGTTTGCGTTCAAGCTTGCCCTCAAACGTCACATGAGGCGACATACGGGTGAAAAACCGCACACATGTACTGAAGTAATAAGCAAAATCGTTTCTATTTAAAATAAATTATAATAAATATAAATTTTTTTATAGTGTAATAAAAGCTTTGGTGTTAAACAAGAACTCAAACGTCATATGAGGCAGCATACAGGCGAAAAACCATACAAATGCACTATGGCAAATATTACAATTATTTTCATTTAATATTAGCTGTAAATTTGTATTCTTTATAGTGTGATCAAAGTTTTAATATTAAGGACTCTCTGAATCGTCATATAAATCGTCATACTGGAATTAAACCCCACACATGTTCTGAAGTAAATATTACAAATGTATTAATTTAAGACGAAATATAAAAAGTATATTATCTTTTAGTGTAATAAAAGTTTTACAGTTAAGGAATCACTAAATCGTCATATAAAACTGCATTCTGGTGAAAAACCCTACTCTTGCACTGAAGTAAATATTGTTAATTTTATGCGTTATTAAATACAATAATAAAATGATTGTTATAGTGTAATAATAGTTTTGCTGTTAAGCAGGCGCTTAAACGTCATATGAGACAACATACTGGTGAAAAGCCCTATAAATGCACTGAAGTAAATTTTGTAATTATTTTGATTTGAAATTAAATATATGAAGTCTATATTTTTATAGTGCAATGAAAGTTTTAATGTTAATGACTCTCTTAAGCGTCATATGAGGCGTCATGCTGAAGAAATTCTACGAATACAACAAAGTAAGTTTTGCAATTATTTTTATTTAAAAATAAATATAATATAATAAGTATATATTTTTATAGTGCAATCAAAACTTTTTTCTTAAGAGTTAAATCAGTTGTCGTACAATACAACACATTGGCAAAAGTTTGTAATTAATATGGATTAAGTATTTTGTTACTACTGTACTTTGTAATCATAGCAAAACTCATTTACGTTCAATTTTCTGTGGACCATATAAAGAAATATTCAAAACATTCAAATATGAAGCACACGTTGCTATTATCATTTTACACCAGTTTGGTTTTACAAACTAAAGCAGCAGAAATCTGGTATAGATTTCATTTTATTGGAAGCGTAAAAACGAAACCCAGGATGAATAACAGATTTAAGTGCAACAGCGGAGAAACTGAACATTTACAGAAGTTTTTATTAACGAATTATTCTAAAAGAATATAAAGTTTTAGAATTTCAAAGAGTAAATCCAAAAAGAGTACAATGGTGTATTCGCATGGCATAGTTGTTTTCTATAGAAAAATTGTTTTTACTTATGTATGGATAAAACGTAGCCAACGATTTGGGAATTTTGATTTTAAAATTGTATTTCACGTTAAGCTTTGAATAACTGATCAGTTTTTTTGTCAGATTCCGACGACGTTATGTAATTTATCCATACTACGTTGTTAATGTAGTTAACAATCAAGAAAAAGTTTACGGAAGTTATTTAGAAAATTAAGTTAAATAAAAGTTTAATTTAAATTATTTTTAAGCTAATGTTGTCATTAACACAAAATATGAAATAAAACAAGATAAAGGAAAATTAAAATTTTTAGTTTAAAGATATAGATATGTGACAGAGAATGCGAGATTCATTTAAAACAGTAATTTGTTATATATCTAAAGTTGAAAAAATATACTAAATCTAAACGTTCCTCTATTATTAGATATAAGATTTAAAATCTTTGGGGTCATTTTCTTACCTACCTAACAGAACTGTCATCTTACAAAATTAGGGATTTGTTAAGTTTATGAATTTGTCCGGTTGATGTAGTTTCACATGAATACCCTTTAGTCTGTGTGTAAACAACGCTAACCGTTGTGTCACAATCTTCCATTATTAAATATTAAGTAGGCTTTAAACATAAAGCTAGCACTACAGCCTAAACTTACAGTTTCTCCATCCATTTTTAATGTTTTCAGGGTAAATGTAAAATGAAACTGTTAAGTTGATTTGATTTTTTTGACAAAATCAAATTGAGTTTAGCATGATCGGATGAATTTCCGAATTCACATAACAATTAATTATATTTCTAGCTAATATTGTGTTAAAATATTTTTAAATAATAACAATTTTTAAATAATATACATACATGTATTATAACACCTAAAGAAAACAAAGCTTTAATAAATTTCTTGTCGATAATAAAATTACATTTAACATGAATCAATAATGTTTGCTATACAATATCTAATATACATTCAAGGCAGATTATAATACAACTTTTCGTTTAATCTGAAATGGCATAAATTATTTAATCTATTCACACAGCATAATTAAATATAATTTTACTCAATTGGCTTGTTCAAGTAGCTTCATTGCAAAATTATACAAACTTTAGTCAAGGAAATTTATTAAAGTTGGTTTAGTGTTTACATTATCGTTTCGGGTTTTTATTTTGACAATTGTTACATATTTTCAGGGACCGTAACAGTTATCATAAAAAAAATAAAAATCATCTTATAACTGTTATCATATGCATTTTAAAATAAAACTCAAAAAATAATAATTATTATATGCCTTTTATTTTTTTCGCGCAGCAATAACTCTTAAAATTTGCTTCTTATTTTAAAACGCACAAATAACTGGTATACTTGCGTTATATAATATAAAAAGCAAGAGTATCGCGCAAATTCTGCGCGATATTTTTAAAATGAAAATATAAAATGCAATTTTCATACAAGGTAGTTGTTTTTGCAATTCCATAGAAAATGTTTGAAAAGGTTGGTGTAGGTAAAGATTTAGTTCAGTTTTTTGTTTTTGTATTTTGCATTTATATTTTGTATTTACATTCGTATTTTGTAGGAGAATAAATTTGTATGTAAAATACAAAAACAAAAAACTGAACTAAATCTTTACCTACACCAACCTTTTCAAACATTTTCTATGGAATTGCAAAAACAACTACCTTGTATGAAAATTGCATTTTATATTTTCATTTTAAAAATATCGCGCAGAATTTGCGCGATACTCTGGCTTTTTATATTATATAACGCAAGTAT